TAACAATCCTTCCTACATTTCTTTTCAAGATATTTTATAGTGTATATTCAGTTCTATAGTAGTTATCTATACATGAATACTTATTGGTATTAACCGGAAAATATATATCAATATGGGGCTATTTTGATATGATTTTATCATAGTCAATACCGTTTTCACGTATCCATGTAGGTAGTACATAACTAACAGAATAGTATAGACAATATAATGAAAGGCAAATGGTATTTGTGAATCTAAACTCATAGAAATTCATGATTCTACCAGTTGAATTAATGGTTTTAACGAAATGTAGAAATTTGCATCAGGACTAATAGTCTAACATTTTACTTTTTCACTACTATACTTTGGTAGTGAGAAAGAAAAGATTTGTTGATTTGTGATAAACAGAACGTTGTGATCACATAATACTATTCAGGGGTGAGTAAGTAATTTTCAGATATAAATAGTACTAATTGTTCTAGTTTACTAGTAGAGTAAAAATATGTATAATTATGTTGTAAGTCATGTTTTCAATGGCTACTGAGGATTTTCAACAGTGTAATTCAAGTTTTCAACTTGCTGGTGAAAGACGAGACTCTTTGGTAGAGATAAATGATATGGAGAAAGTCAGTTGGCATCATCAAGAGACGTTTGAAACTGGTGCTGTGAGAATCTTCAAGTGTACCTTCCTGATTTTGAAAAATATTCAGATCAAAGAAAATCGTTTCCTCGTGAGGTCTTATCTTTATATATGTGTGTGAAACAAATGTTAAACTACTTAATGATATATTGTATAAATAGTGTATGAACAGAGTAAGTAAGTTGTTACAAAGTAAAGGAAGTCTTAATAAGTATCCATATATTAGTGCAATATCTAGAATACCTCTCAAGTCGACTGTGTCTAGTAGGTAACAATTTCACATAGGCACTTGATGAACTGAACTAAAAGAATCAATATAAATTATAAATTGAAAAGAATAGCTGAAAATAACAATTATATTGAACAAAAAAAAACTGAAATTAAATTACAGCCAAATAAAATATAAGTGAAAAATAGAACAATTAAACAAAAAATAAAAAATTGAGAGATTCCAAGCCAAGTTACTTCACGACGTTTCGATTGTTAGTATCCCCAATCGTCTTCGGGTGGTGACTGGACGAATTCCTCCGAGAGATGACTATGGGTCATTCGAGTAAGAGTACTAATATATGAAAGATTAACGATATAGATTACCTAACGTATTCAAAAAACACTTTATTGTGAGATTTTCACTAAACGATTTTACAAAAACGCAACAACTGTTTCCCCATTCAATGCCTTCTTCGGGCGTTTCTTAACTAACCAATTCTACACATTCTACATATACCTCTTTCTCCAATTTGAAGTACCTACATTTCAAATACCTGATTTTTACCAAGTTTGTAATTACTTAAATTACCTGAGCTTATGTTCCAGTTTCCACATTTGAAAAAATATTTAGTAACGGGGAGTTTTTCAATTCTAATTGATCATTCAGTAAATTACCCGAATTCTTGGATCTATTGGTTTCTAAACATTCTAGAAGATTGAGTTTCAAATTTTTGTCTTCTAAATGTAACACATCGTATTCATGATTGAACTCATGTGCTTCTGCTAATAGGTGGTTTGCAAATGTAGAATTGGTCTTTCTATTTCCAAAACTACTTCTATCCTCTATAATTCTTTGAGAAAATGTTCTCCCTGTTTGGCCAATATACCGTTTTGGCCAAGAACCAAAAGTCAGCCTATATACTCCCGAATTATCCGACACCGAAGTTTTGTTTTTATTGTTTTCAATGAATTTACTTAGATTATTATTCGTTCTGTGAGCTACGTTTACGCATTCTTTCTTCAAAAAATAGACAATATTATTGGTTGGTTCACCCAAATATAACAATGTCCTATAACTGACATTATCGTATCTTGAATTTGGTTAGACCTGGTCCATAGCTTGCTTTTTGAAAGAATTGAGTCTATAATATCTACATTATAACTGTTGTTAACCGCGATTTGTTTGATCAAACTTAGCTCTCTCTGGAAATTACCCTCAGACAGAGGAATATTTAATAGTCTATGAAGCACACTATTGAATGCAGCAACTTTATGCTGGTGAGGGTGTGTGGAGGAATTATGTATGATGGTTATGTATGTAATGATTAAGTCAAGGAAATTTATTGAATTATTTACCTCCCTCTCAGTGGTGAATTTTATTGAAGGGTGGATGGGAGTGGCATATTCAATGAACTTGAATAATTGCCTATCTGTACCAGTAAAATAAACTAAGATATCATATACGCATCTGTACCAGTACAAAAAACTGTAAGTTAACTGTGATTATTAAGGATTTCATATTCTATGTTATCCTTGAAAATGTTCGCCAGCAAGGGACTCAAAGGGTTCCCCATTATAAGGCCTTCACTGTATGAATAGAATTTTTCGAAAAACTGGAAATAATTTTGAGATAGACAAATAGTAAGTGAATCTAAAATTTCCTGTTTTATCAGTGGATTTACGTGGATTTTGTCTAAGAGGCTCTCAAATAGTCCAATACTGGGAAATAAATACTGGGAAATAATTTTGCGTTATCAGGGAGAATTACGTTTTTATCATTATCCACTAGTTGATAAGAATTATTTATACTGGATTTTGGCTTGAAATTGGTCTGATCGGAAAATTGGTTTTGTGTAATTTAATAAGAGAATATAGTTTTGGTGGTTGTGGTGTTCAAAATATGTTCTGATTATTTTGAACCGGTTAACTGTCTCTTTCTGATGTGATCTGCAAGTTCGTTATCAAGCACTTTTGATGATCTCGAAGTTTCTCCAATTTATCTTTCAACACAAAAACAAAGTATCTTACGGAAGCACGGAAGGGCCGCATATTTTTATTATTTTTTCTTGAAAATGAAAATGTCGAAATTACCATTTCAAAAGTCGAAATTTCGACTTCAATCTCGAAATTACGACTTCAAACTCAAAATTTAGTGTTGAAAGTACGAATTTTACGATAAAAGTCAAAATTTCATCTATGGGATCGATAGAGAACTTAATCTTCTAATATCAAAGATAAACGAGGCTCCTCAAGGCGGTTTGTTGCAAAGCCAAGACTACATTTGTCTTCTGTCTATCACTGCAGCTCTCACTGCAAAGCAACTAGTTGTTAACTAGAGCCCAAATACGAGTTAAAGTCGAAAATAATAAAAAATATGTGACCTTCTGCGCTTCCGTAGTATCTTGAAAATGCATTGTTTAGGTACCTATGTTTCTTATATGTCATTGAATTTGTATGTGTGAGTATATAGATCTCAGTGTATTTATAGTTCTGTAAGAAGTTGTAAGTTATCTTTTCAGATAGTCCTGGAATATAATGTAGAGCAGCAGTTGTGATATAAGGTGTCGATAGTTGTTGAGTCGGTAATTTTTGAATTAGTGGTTGCTGAAATACCCAAAGTAGGTCAATAAAAATTGTTCTTGATGTAGGTAGCTGCAGCATCAACCGTCCATATTGACTTGCTTAAATTTTATCCAAGGACAATAAACTCGTGCTCCTGTTACTAACGACAATTTTTTGAAGGTATTCATACATAAACTAAAAAAGTAAGTTAACGCCAATTAACGATAGTTACTGACATTATCAATGACAATTCACGAATTTTCTTTCAAGCATTTAACCATCAGTGGTGGTCAACTGATTTTCAGATATGAACTAGACATTTCTAATGAAAGTGGGTGGCACTGATCTCTTCGAAAATTTATTTTCTCTTCTTCTTCACTGAGAAAAGAGTTTATTTGTATTCAACAAATATATAAGTAATTTAAAAATGTCCTGAGTTATGTATACATTTATTATCCACTATCAACCAAAACACCGAATAAACCTGACCATTCCTAACCTTGAATATTATGTATATAGGTACGTATTATTTACATTTAATATTTGGTTGAATATTTCTGTCAAACATTGCCGAATAATTGAATTTCTCGTAATGAAGAAATAGTATAATTTATTTTTCAAATAATTTCCATCACATCATACTGACCTTTTTACAGACTGAAAAAAAAGAATAATTTTATACCTACACGTGTATAATGAAGAAATTTTTAATTTACCTACTCCGGAAAATCACTGTTGTGTGTGTGTTGTAGTGAAAGTATTTCTAGATCAAGTGTAATTTAAATTATTTTTTCAGTCTGTAGAAGGTGAATACTTTCAGAAAAAGTCATAATCATCTTCTATTTCACCTCAAATTTGTTTCGTTCTTTATTATTAACGAAATATTTGGACAAAGCCTAATTTCTTGCTATATTCAGTATAATATTGAATTTTGAAACATTTCAATAACACCTAATTTTTCAATTCTGAAAAAATTTAAATGTTTTGAAAGTTTTTTTAAAATTTTCTTAATTCAATATCCTATAGAAATTATTCATATCGCAGAAAAATGTTTGCTGGGTCAGATGGTGCAATTATAAAAATTGCCCTTTTGTAAAAATATTTTCAGTTCAATCTACCGAAATTGTAATATACATTCCCCACAAACTTTTTTATCGAGTAAAGTAGGTAAGTAATGCTGATATTTGCTACTCCGAAAATCTCGTGAAAATCCCATCGTACTTTCACTCAAAGTTAGAGAATACTTGCACTCGATTATTTCATCAAAAAAAAAACAATATTTACTCATTTGAATATTCAATAGTTCATATCGGTGTTTACGATATTCATCACTATCGATTATACACAAATAAGTAGGTACTCAACTCATTGTAAATGTTTCTTATGACCACAATAAAGGCGAGGTTTATATATCACAATCAAAAAATTACTTGGGGTCGACCTAGTTTTAATAGTTATAACTTGTCCGAAGTCATTACAAGATACATAAAACACTAGGTAAGGGAATCCCCCACCCATTAATGTTACCCAGTAATACGGTAATTTAACAAAAGTCAAAGACATCATTGCAATTAGATGTATCTTCTGAATAATAAAATGTTTCACTAACCTTTCAGTTTTTAAACATAATCCTATATCCTGCACTTCAACTTTTAAGGCAGCTACGCAACACAAACCAACTCCAACAAAACAAACACGAATTTACGTTTCGACTTTCGACTAAATGAAATAGTTCTGCGAGCTTCCGTGAGGGCCTAGAAACGCTGTCGTGCACTTTACCGTCGGCACAGTAGCGCATCTAAAAAGCCCTCTGCGCCTCTCTCGGGGATGCTGTAGTCGCTCCGCCCCAAGGCACAATGACTCGAATTGCTCCTCCCACTCCTTACGCCGATATATATGATCCCTCCAATCAGGCGAAACGAGTGTACCTCTCCTCTTACGTCATTGTTTAATTTGCCGCCCACTGAATCTTTCACATTTGTTTTGAAAATGTTTCTATTCAGCTTTTGTGCTTGGTAGCAAGTAGTCAGGTAGTAGAATATATCATTACAGTAAAAGTTGAATAAACTGCGAGTATTTTCAATTCCTATCACACCAACAAATTTAAAGTTGCTATTATTATAATAATATCCCTTGTGACAACTGGACTCCAGCAAAAATTATTTTTCAGGCGCTCTCCCTTCTCTGAAATCAATCTGCAGAAATGAGTAAAACTTTGAATGTTCGTACATCTGATCCAACATTTTCGATATATCATTTTGAGAAAATATGACTAGGTATACCTACCGAAAACGCATGTTTCTCTCATGTTAATATTAGGATATATAGAAGAAAAGATATCAAAGATGATTGGCCTCAAATCTTTGTTCAATTTGACTGATACTTTGCTTAATTCATATTAATTTCAACAAAAAATACAATCATAATAACACCCACCACCATAAACATCACCACAATTGAAACAACCTACATACACTTTTTTTGAAATTTGTAATTCTTTGTCTTTCTGAAAACTTTAAACGAATCTTATCGAATTTGAAACTCAAAGTAATCAATATAACCATGTTCCATCAATATCTACACAATTTATCAAGGTTCGTCTCCATAGAGACTTCTTCAAGACACTAAAACCAAAATACAATCGACAAGAGCTTGAAACATGGACGATACTTACACACTTCAAAATTAACGATTATAGGTACGTAAAAAAAGTCTACAAAATTCAGATGTTTATGTTAACTTTCGAAATATCTGACTTTGGTAATGTTCCAATGTTAAATGTACTAATAACAAGAGTTGATATCAATAGATACCTACTAAATGGAAAAGGTTTCTACCTTAAAATAATCTAAGGAATTATTTAAACAGCCTGAAAATTACTTCAAATTTGATATATCAACAAAATCAATCCATATCTAGTGGGTAAATAATTATAAACATTTCAATGTTTTCTTCTTTATACTCTCCGGGTTTTTGTTGAATTGAATCAATTGAATAAACAGATTATTGAACATAAGTACTATATCTTTCTGAAGTCAAAACTTTCGTTTCATGAAGTTTATTCAATTGTATGGGTACTTACCTATCACTTTTATGAGAAGTTTACTCAAAAATGTTTTAGAAGTTGTTCATATATAATTCGAATCGCAGTTGATACCACATATAGATATATTATAGACCATGCACATTAGATTTTTCTCAAATCAGTCGAACCTAGAATATTCCCATTGTGTTTCACCGTTTTCAATAACTTCAATAAGTACCTACTTCTTTTTCAAATTTCAATATTTTGCTTCTGAAAAATTTCAATTGTATTGAATAAATAAGTTTTCAATGAAATCTAAAGAAATGAACTTTAAACGTTCAAGCCAGTCTCGAATATACCTACACAGTAGGTTGAATGGACTGACGCCTATCAGAAAACAACTACTTCCCTGGCTAATACCACCACGGGCGTTGGATTATATCCGACAAGCGTCCTTCAATTTTGGAACGGGCACACTTGCAGACTGGTTTCGAGTTCATTAGCCACTCATCAGTGCAAGATAGTGGCCATCATCTACCTAAAGTCATTGACATTCCATAATTGAAAATCGGAATTCTTTCAGAGTATTTCATTTCTCTTCCTTAGTTGGAGCGATCAACAAAATGTCACTCCATCTAGTGGACGAGGTACTAACCAACTGCATATCCGAAATTTGCCTACTGACTAATAAGAAAGTTTCAAATGTTTGGAAATTAATATTATTTGATTCTTTCATCTATATACCTGAACACCAGCAAGTTTATTTGTATTTTCTGTCTTAATATTTTTGGATAAAATAATTTTGTTGAGTGAGTTCTGAGTAATAAATTTATTTTCATTGATTTTCGAGTTTCATTACTTTCCAATTCTATAATTAACAACACATTAGGATTAGGTATAGGTACTCAATTAGTGACTTCTCAAGTATGTCTTGTGATTTGTCTTTCGGAACAGCACAAATCACATCATCAAACATTATTTTTTTAAATGAAGTCGCGAAACTATGTTGGAGTAATATTTTGGAGTAAAGAGGATAAAAGTGGGCATCAAGGTCTCAAGCACAGAAAGTGTTTCAATTGTCATGTCATTCGTGTCATTATGCGTCCCCATATTTAAAAAAAACACTTGTTGAAAACATATACCGGCCATTTCAGCCATAATTACAAAAATCATTCATGAAGAATAACAAATTTATCCTTTTCTGTCTTCACAGAAATTGAAATTATTGGAGTTGTGTTACAGTAATTACTTCTGTTTTGTACACATGATTTTAATATGTTTTTATTCCTGACAATTTTTCATGAAATCTTGGCGTCTAAACCTCAAAGATATTTCAAGTACTTTTCTCAGCTCTTGTTCACTTTTAATATTATTCAGTTAACTTGTTAATATTTCAATATTAAATTCTACAAAAAGCTTTGACGCTTCATATCTGCCGTTTTTTTGTTTTTCATTTCTGATAGGGCATTTGTTATCTCATATTCCGTAACCGGATAGGATTGGAAAGGTTCAGTAATGGTTATATTTTCAGTAACAGTACACGGTAAAGACAAAATTTGCCCGAAGTCATTAGATACGGAATTTTCAGCTGCATTTGAGAAATATTCAGCAAATAAGTCAGTTACTTCCTCTGAGTCAATTGTAAACCCATCATCATGTTTTAGAGTTATTGTTTTTCTCGAGTTGTTTGTACTTCTTCCTAATTCTGTATTTATAATCTTCCAAGTCTCTCTAGTTTTGTTTTCTGACTGGTTTATTTCAGACTTAAAATTGCAATTTTTTGCTAACTTTACATTATGTTTGTGCTCTCACAATTTTGATTTATACTGTTCAATCAAGTGAGGTTCAGATTTTTGGGAATTTACCAGAACACTTCCTTTAATTTTTTGCTTTCATCAATGATTTCATGAGTTAGCCAGCTTTTCTGGTAGGGTTTTCTATAGGACCGCTTTTTTGGACATGATACATCGCAACACCAAAACAGTATGTTGAAGTACTCAAAAGCTTAATTTATTTGTAAATGAAAATTTGGGATCAATCTTCGCGAGTTTACCGATTTTGTAGTTCGGTCATATTGTCATCGCAAACTACGCCTCTCGTTATATTATATTTTGTTTTTCTTATTGCGTACAATATTTATTTCTTTATATACCAGGATGTGTGCCAGATGATCGGCTATATTTGGTTAGACCAAATTACATTCCCATTTTGGTTGAGGTATTGGTCACCATGTAATCAATGCAGGTTGAGCTACGTTTTTATTTGTGAAAATTCTAGTGGCACCTTGAAGGTTATTGCTTGTCTGGTATTCTGGTATGAATTGAAAATATTAGATAGTAGTTTGGTATTTAGATCCGATTTATGACAGTTTATATTGAAATCACCACACAGTATTATGGAGTCCGATCGTTTAGATACAAGGTGAAGTGCTTGTGTTAGGCATTCCATGAAAGTGTTAATTTTACCGCCTACCGCCAGGTGGTTTGAACCCTGTTACAATAGCAATTTTTATATCATTTTTATTGTAGCGAATACCACAAATTTCAATTTCAGATTCAATTGCTATCTTTTTTAATGGATCTATTTCGGAAAATGATTGCCCCTTTTTAACTACCCCATCGGTTTTTTTATTTTTTCTAGCATAGATAGATGCCATTTCATAGTAACCAAAGTATGAATTATTTTCAGAATGGTCATCCTTAAGCCAATGCTCCGATAAGCAAAGGACGTCAATATTATCGGTCTTCACAAACAATTCAGGTAAATTATAATTATTTAAAAAACCCTGGACATTTACATGACAAATTTATGTGGAAATATCACAGTTCAACCTATTTTTCATCTGCGGGAAGATTTAGGGTTAACATTTCCTTTTATAGATTTTTTGAATTGTTGTAGAAGTGACCGTGGAATAAAAAATCACTTGCCAAATTTAGGTTGGCTGCATCAGTTTTTCGATGAGAGTTACGGATTTTCTTAGCTAACGAAGTGAGGGAATCTTGGCCAGTGAAAACGATGTCTGGGATAATCTAAGGAAGATATGATCAACACTTACATCTTGGTCATCATTTGCTGGCTTGTCTGTGGAAAACGATATCTGAGATAATCTCGGGTAGATGAGTTCAGATGCGTTTATGCACCTATTTTCAACAAGAACTTTCTTGGTTTTCCCCTTTTTGTCTTCAATCGAGGATCGCCTGACCGGTACAGAGGATGCCCAATAGGCTGAAACAGCTGTCTACCAAGGGCTCTTAAATTGAAATCAATATGGGAATGATCAAAAATACTTATCTATTTATTTTTTGATTTTCATGGAATTATTTTCCAGCAGCTTGACTGCATTAATCTTTCTAGATTATATATCTATATATACAGTGTGACTCACGGTCGATGGTAGGTTGGACGTTTCTTACCTATTTTTTCGATCTAAAATATTTTCAGCATTGCGGCGTTGCCACTTCCATCAAAAAGTCCTAGCGACTTTATTTTTTTAAATGGAACACCCCATATATTAATACATTTTTGGAATCGCTCTGGTATTTTAATACTTTTTTGTTAATACTGTCCTATACCTATCTCTATCTGTTTTCGAGATAAAAAATTAATTGTGCTAAATATGATGGTCCAAAACATAGTCTTAATTGAAATTAAGTACATCACAAACATCACAATGTTTGCTGATGATACAACGATAACTATAGCAGGCAATAATGCTGAGCAACTCATCAGCAAATCTGAACACATTATTGATCA